CTCAGTCTCTAAGGGCTACATGGGCGAGTGCGTACAGCCCCAGGTGGTGGTGGTGGTAGTGGTGAAGGTGGGAGGGGTAGAGGACTCTTCAGACACTGCCGTGGAGCAACACCCTCTTCCCAGACCTGCCTCAACTCACGCTCTCCTGGGCAGGTGCGGGTTTCGTGGTGGCTATGTGGAGGTGGTAAACATGGATGCTGAGGTGCAGAAACAGATGGCGAAACTGATGAGCGTGAGGCTGTGTCCACCAGTGCCGGGCCAGGCCTTGGTGGACATGGTGGTCAGTCCACCAAGACCCTCGGAGCCGTCCTTCAAGCAGTTTCAAGCAGTGAGCAGACCAGACCAGGCCAAAGATACCTGGTGATCCAGCTTTGGGTGGGACTATAGAGGGACACATTGAAACTCTCTTCCATAATCCCCTCCTGTGACTGCAGGAGAGGCAGGAGGTGCTAGCTGAACTGGCAGCCAAGGCTAAACTCACCGAGCAGGTCTTCAACGAGGCTCCTGGGATCCGCTGCAACCCAGTACAGGGCGCCATGTACTCCTTCCCTCGAGTGCAGCTGCCCTTGAAAGCAGTGCAGCGTGCTCAGGTGTGGGGAATGCAGGGCCCTGTGGGTGCTGAGCAGGGTGTGGGCCTGGGTGCCAGGCTGTGACCTGACCACCCTCCTGACCCCCAGGAGCTGGGCCTGGCCCCTGACATGTTCTTCTGCCTGTGCCTCCTGGAAGAGACTGGCATCTGCGTTGTGCCTGGGAGTGGCTTTGGGCAGCAGGAGGGCACCTATCACTTCCGGTGAGAGCTGGTCTGTGTTGGCCCTGCCACAAATGTGCCTGTGCTCCACGCTGACCATTTGTCCTTTTCAGGATGACCATTCTGCCTCCCATGGAGAAACTGCGGCTGCTGCTGGAAAAACTGAGTCACTTCCATGCTAAATTCACTCAAGAGTACTCCTGAAGCCACTGCTAGGGTTGCACTGGATGGTCTCTGACTCAGCAAACTGAGGGTTCTGGGGAGCCCTCAGTATTTCTGATTTCGCCTAGGGTCTGGGTACCTGTCCCTGCAGGTCCCTAATAAAGCTGGGTGTCAGCCTGATTTGAAGTGGCTGCCTGGGTGACCCCAGCTTTTGACTTACCTGATTGGCTTTGTGTCGACACACAGACTCCATGTAGGGTCACGGGAAACTGCATCTAGAGGAGTTCTTAAGGACGGTTCCCAGGGAAGGGCCCTCCAGATTGTCATTCATCCATTTTTCTTGAGACAGGTGCATCTGTGTGCTAGGTCTTCATTACAGTCTTAAGTGTGGGGCATGTGATGATCGGTTAAATAAAATCAACTAACATACTAGTAAAGAATGTGAAGGCAGATATGGACTACACCTGCCTTTGAGGGCCACTCCAGAACCACGTGGGAGGGGGTGAGGTTTCAGGAGTTGCTGGGAAAAGAGATCTTGGAGGCTGCATCAGAAACAGTAACCTTTCTCTAGGACACAGCAGTGTGTCCCGAGTTCTGGCACTTCCTGTGCCAACCACAGGATGGGTTATTAAGCTCTTACAACCAAGTTAGGACTGACAGCAAGGGCTTGGGTGGCGCCCACTTTGGGCATAGCTGAGCAGGGGAGGTCCTTTTGCAAAGCACGTTTAAGGAACCCTTGGGGGTAGATGTGTGCTAGTGGAAGGACACATCCTGGAGTGGGAGGCTCAGGAAGGGATGAGACCCTATGCACAGTAGACACTGCTGGGATTCACTTGTTTGCTCTGCAGTGTTCCTCTGAGGTAGGCAAAGCAGTCCTCCCTCCCCTAAGTTTTGTGGTACTAGGGATTGAATTTAGGACCACTGAACTATATCCTGCCTGCCACCTCTTTTCACTTTTAAGACATGGTCTCTCTGAGGTATCCAGGTCAACCTAAACTCATTCTTGTGTCTCAGCCTGAATAGCTGAAAGCATAGGGGTTTACAGCCATGCCCCACAGTAGAACTCGTTTTATAGATATGAATACTTGGATCCTGAGACTATCTGGAAGCGACAGGATAGCCCCTCAATGGAAGCAAGGCAGCGGTGGGGTGCTTAGGACTTGGACACTGTGTCCAAACACAAAAGCAGCAGCACCCAGTTGTCTACTATGGAGTCAATTCTTAACCCAAGGTCTCTTAACAGTCTTATCGTGGACTTGAGAGGGCACAACTCTTGAGAAGGGGAGAGACTGGGCATGAGCCTTCCCTGCAGAGGCAGAATCATGTTGTCTGGCCTAACTACCTTCACTGAATACTGCAAAGAAAGTGGGTATCATGGGCAATAGCTGACTGGGTCCTGCACTTTCCCACAAAACTCCCGCTCTGTGGTCGCTGACCTGGGGCAGCTCTGAAGCCACAGTCTCGGCCAGGTACGGGGAGCAGGGCTGGATGCACTGTGGAGCATATCGGCTCCTCCGTGAGCCGAGTGTTAGAAATGCTTCGGTAGCCGGGCGGTGGTGGCGCACGCCTTTAATCCCAGCACTTGGGAGACAGAGGCAGGAAGATACTGAGTTGGAGGTCAGCCTGGTCTACAAAGTAAGTTCCAGGACAGTCAGAGCTACAAAGAGACCCTGTCCAACACCCCCCCCCAAAAAAAAAAAAAAAACCTTAAAGAAATGCTTCTTCTGGAACGAATCTGGTAACCACTGAGCAGACAGGAAGATACCTTTGAGACCAGCGTGTTACCTCAGCTTCCTTCCCAGCCACTCACGACTGCCTGCTGGGAATATGAGCAGCAGGCTGTCGTGCCCAGGTTTGGCACTAGGGGCGCCAGGGCAGAAGTTCTGGCTCTGCTTAGGTATCTGTAACCTGCTTGACATTTGATGCTCGGGTTTTAGGCCAATAGAGGACTAATAGGGAGTTGGCTCCACCCCCAGTCCAGGTTGCCCCGCCCCTCCCTCGGCCGACCCTTGCGCAAAGCATGCTGGTAGTTATTGGCTGCGCAAGATTGCAGGCCCACCGTGCGATAGGACCGGTCTATCGCTCCGCAATTTTCTCCCAGCTTCGGTACTTCCGGGATATCTGGGCCCCAGTGTGCGTGTCAGGATTCCAGCCTGATTGTCCCCGGCCCTATGTAGGACGACCAGACCCTGACCTTTCATCCTGAGCCATCCGATCCCACCACGAGCTGACCATGCATGGGAAGTTGCTGCCGCTGGCAGGCCTCTATCTTGTGCAGGGTCTGCCCTATGGACTGCAGTCCAGTTTGCTTCCCATTTTACTGCGGACCCGTGGGCTCTCCCTAACGCGCGTGGGTCTGACGAAGGGATTGTATGCTCCTTGGTTGTTAAAGCTGATGTGGGCACCACTGGTGGACAGGCGGGGCACCCCACGGGTCTGGTTAACACTCAGCACAGTGTCCCTTGGCCTGGTGTGTGGACTGCTGGCTGTGTTGCCTCCTCCCCAAGCTGGCCAGACAGGGCTGCCTACTACCGTGATGGGGCTGCTACTGCTGCTGAATCTGGGTGCAGCGGTGCAGGATGTGGCCCTGGACACACTCGCTGTGCAACTCCTAGAGCCAAAGGAGTTGGGACCTGGGAACACTGTACAGGTGGTTGCTTACAAGCTGGGATCAGCCCTGGCTGGGGGTGGACTGTTGGTCCTCTTCCCCAACCTCTCTTGGCCACTGCTCTTTTTGCTCCTAGCCGCCACCTACTGGCTGGCTGCTGCCTTAGCCTGGGCTGCACCAGCCTTGGAACAGCTGCCATGGCCTCAGGCCTCAGAACATACACCCCACATCTATCTTCTGCAAGATTTGCTGGCTGTGCCTGGGACCCTGTGGACAGCAGGCTTTGTGCTCACCTACAAGCTGGGTGAGTGAGGCCTACTGTTAGCCCTAACTCCAAGTTGGTCTCTGGGGCCCTGAAACCCACTTAGGGGACTGCCCTACTTTGGAGTATCAGCCTAGAGCTCTGCAGCTCAGTACTGTCTCACCTCTTAACTTCCCTCAGCTCCAGCCAATGCCCAGCCCTTTCTCTTCTAACATCTGGGGCCCATGAAAATGAAGGGGACCAGGGGCCTGACTGGCTGGAGTACTGAGGTTCCTGGAAGAATGGGGCCATCCTTGCTTACGGTCTCCTGTAGGTGAGCAGGGTGCTGGCAGCCTGTTTCCACTTCTCCTGCTGGACCATGGTGCTTCTGCCTCAGACTTGGGGCTATGGAGTGGCTTGGGTGCTGTGACCTGCTCCATTGCTGGCTCCTCCTTGGGTGGGGCTCTACTGGCCAGGCACTGGTAAGCACTCCCCAACCCTAACCTGGCCCTCACCTCACCTGTGTCCCAGGCAGTCTTACCATAGCGCCTCTCAATTCCCACACCAGGCAGCCACTAAAGCTGTTGAGGTCAGTGCTGCAGCTTCGCCTTGGGGGTTTGGCCTGCCAGACTGCCCTGCTCTTCTACCTCAACAGCCCAGGGGCCAGTCTGGACCCTGGCACAGTCATGAGAGGTGAGAGGTTAGCCTTGAGGACATTGCGAGGGGGCAGGAGCCTGGGGTCCCACTGACCTTTCTTTGTTCTTCTAGGGGCAGCTTTGCTGAGCCTATGTCTACAACAATTTCTGGGGGGTATGGTCACCACTGTCACATTCACTGTGATGATGCACTGTAGCCAGTTGGCACCCAGAGCCCTGCAGGTAAGAGGGCAGGGTAGGGATGCCCAGGAGTGCAGGGTAGGGTGTCACTGGGTCCTGATCTGCATTACCATTCCCAGGCCACACATTACAGCTTCCTGGCCACTCTGGAACTGTTGGGCAAGCTGCTCCCAGGCACCCTGGCTGGAGTGCTGGCTGATGGCCTGGGCCCACATCTCTGCTTTGCTGCCTTTCTTGTACTCTCAGCCCTGCCCGTTCTGGATCTCCGCCTGGCACCCCGTGACCTGAGCTGAGCTGGATGGAAGGGCTGTCTATAAAGCCAGTAAAGCTATGTGTGGCCTGGATGTCTAGGACACAGGGAATGCAGCTGGCCTCAAATTGAAGGCTGTGTTACCAGAAAGCACATAAAATTACTGAATGCTTTTTATTCTGCATTTTGGATCTTCTTATCTCCTTTCTGCAGCCAGAAAGTTTTGCCTGACAGCCAGTAATGGCTGCATCATTCCCTTGGTGAGCCTGACACCCTCTGGGTAGTGGCCATAGTCTGGCTTGCCTCATGCCTCAATCATGTAGCACCCTCTCGTGGAAGGTGGTCATCGGCCTCTCAGCAGGAGCTCTTCAGTAGCTAGGTGCATCAAGGCATGGAAGTCCAGGTGTAGGTACTTTCTCCAGAAGCGCCGGTCCAGCCCATACACCTGGGCTGGGTAGCATGGACTTGCTAGAGTGGAACAGAAACACAGGCCTGAGGACTCAGCTGGCTCTAATGCCCATCCCCTGCTGACATCAGGCAACCCATAGCCCTCACCAATGCCATGGAAGATGCGGGCCACAGCCCTTCCTGAAAACCTTTCTTCTGGCCTCAGGGACAGGAGCTGGCAGATATCACGTCGAATTTGGTCCTCCCAGTCCTGAAGCTGTGGGATGATAGCATGTGACCTCACCTGAGTCTCCACAGCATCTGCCACATAAAGTCACACCCCAGCAGCCGAGCAAACCTTGAGCCCAAGTAGGGGTTGGACTGTGGGGTCAGGGTTGTATGAGGGCATGTCACTGTCCCAGGCTTTAGGGCCTGTCCTCAGAGGTGTGGCACTTACCTGGGTCTGCCCAGAATTTGGACCCTGAATATCCACTGTTTCCTCCTCTTCCTCCTCCTCCTCAAAGTAGTAGCTGACCAGGGTCTTCACCTGATTGCTGTGCTCCTCATCAGACTGCTCTAAACAGGGTCCACAACTGGGAAAGGCCACACTGAGGACGAGACAAACCTGTCAAGAGTTGCCCATGGGGGCAGAGTGGGTGGCCTAGGCCCTGCCTACCTCCTTCCCACCTTTGAAAGGCCTTGGACATTTGGTGTAGGTGGGCCAGGGCCTTGTATTCACGAGCCTGCACACGGCTGTACAGAAAGTCACAGATCTGGTCCCTCTCCTCATCTGTCAGGTCCCCACGACTATGCAGGTGAAAGGCCAACTCGCTGAACTCCACAAGCACTCCTGTGCTCCGTGGTGCACCTGTCAGCAAGCGTGTCAGTCAGGTGAACAGCTGGCTAACACAACCCAGGCTGGGGTAGTGGTGGGCATACCTTTCTTTGGCTCTGGGTCCCACTTCAGCTGGTGAAGAGCCTGCCGTACAGAGGCCAACTCCCAGCCCATCGAGTCTGCCAGCTCCACCACATCAAACTCTAAGGCGCTCCTGCCCTGACTTGTGTCTTTAGGTGGCCACTTGGCCCAGCATGCAGCCAAAGGGGGACACCTGTGCCCAAGGAACAAAGGAGTATGTGGCCAAAGCCCTGACTCTGTATCTTTATCCTCCCCCTGGGGTGAGCTATGCTTACCTGTGGGCCAGAGCTTGCAGCTGGGCACTGCCCCCAGGGCAACGCAGATGGCAATGGGCATAGGTACGTGGCAGCAGCTCCAACCAGTGTCGAGGGTGTAGTTCCAAATAGCACAGCAGAGTCTCAATGGCTAGAGGCAGAGAAAGACTCAGGGCATGTGGCAACAGCCTCTCCCTGTAACCTGTATCCTGCCTGACAGCCTCTTCCTGTAACCCGTATCCTGCCTGGCTCCTCACCCTCCTCTGTCATGTCCAGAGCCTGGACTGTAGACTGCACTGGGAGTGCCCGCTTATGGCCCAGGCAGGCCTGCCCCAGTACAGGGTGTGTTTGTTGGCCACTGTGCTCTCTGACTTCTTCAAGTGGGGACTGGGACACAGGCCTCTGGCTGCACGTGCAGGGTGGGAACGCACGCTGCACCAGCTTCTTCACCGCCAGGAAGTCAGTGCTGTCAGAGTGGGCGTGTCTGCGCAGTTCCCAGAGGTCTTCACCCTGCATTGGGACAGTCATGCACACAGCTATTGCACTTGGGCCCAGAGTGGCAGCTGACAGGAAAACAAGATAGTAGCTGGGGCTGAAGTGGCATAGGAATAATGTAACCCCTAGGTCTACCCTGGTCTGGGGAGATGGGGTTGCCAACCTGGGGGTGCATGAACAGGTGGCAATGGGCAGGCTTCCCATCCCGTCCTGCACGGCCGATAGCTTGCACATAGCTCTCGAAGCTTGGAGGCAGTCCCAGGTGTAGCACAGCCCGAACATCTGGACGGTCCAGTCCCATCCCAAATGCCACCGTGGCCACCACCATCCGCAGGTGGCCCTGCATGAAGGCCTGCTGTACTCGCCGCCGTTCCTGGCTGCACATGCCTGCATGGTATGCTTCAGCTATAGCCTCGGGGCCACAACCTGTAGAGAAAGTGTATGGATGATTGATGAGACCATAGCAGGCACGCAGAGGAAAGGGTCCCTGAGCGCCAACCCCTGCACCCGCCTACCTCTCGGCCTTGAATCTCTCACCATGGACAGGCAGGTGCGCAGGAGTGCAGCCACCCGCTCTGTATCCTTTCTTCGAGTGCAGTAAATGAGAATTGAATCCAGGGTACGAAAACGGTCACCTTGCAGCAATGTCACCAGAGCCTGACAATAAAGAAAGATTAGCACGGCAGCTTGTGGGCTTCTGGCAGAGTCCCTGGAATGTACATACATACCTGGTCTGAGTCTCTATCCATGGACACGGAGAGGTGCAGATTGGCAGGGATCTTGGCTGACCCACTGAGTTCAACGTCTTCAGCTATGCCGAGGTGCTGGGCCACATCACGAGCAGTGCTTCGTGTGGCTGTGGCTGTGAGACCCAAGAAGCAGCGCACACCCATATGCTCCCGAAGTACCTGAACCAAGAACAGTGTTCAGTCACTTAGCTCACGTGGGTCCCAGTCCACCACCATCTGGACCCAGACAACAGCTCACTTTGCAAACACGTAGATAGCAGGGCCGGAAGTTATGTGACCACTGAGAGAGGCAGTGGACCTCATCAATGCAGGCGAAGGCAATTGGAGGCAGCTGAGAGGCCTCGGGGAGGTTGGCAGGACCCCTAGCCCCGCACTCCACCAAGGCCTCTGGGGACACAATCAGCACATGCACCCGGGCTGCCTGTACCTGCAGGGAAGAAAGAGGGTTACAGACACTGTGTAGATGGATGCCCACTACCCCCCATCCATGGGGCCCTTCTGACCTTCTTCAAGACAGATTCTCGTTGTTTCTTGGTCATGCCTGAGTGGAGGCAGGCTGCCTTCAGACATAAAGGCAGATCAGACACCTGTAGATACAATGCTGTCACAGCCCAGTACAACCTAATGTCTTCCCCCTAATTCACTCAGATACTTAGCACTCTTGAAACAAATGCATCTGACACTGGGTCCTGGGAGAAAAAGCAGGGGTGGTAAGGGAACTAGATGGAGAACACTGGGCATTAGGCTGTGTCACCCTTAGAAAAAGGTCAGCTGGTGTGTTTAAGGAACAAGAAAGCACCTCAGGGTATCAGAGCTATCAGTTTTCAGACTTTCCAGGTACTGAGAACCTGTCCATATACCTGGTCATCCATGAGTGACAGGAGAGGAGAGACCACCAGTGTGAGGCAGGGGCTTCGCTGGGCATAGAGAAGTGCAGGAAGCTGGTAGCACAGAGACTTTCCAGCACCCGTGGGCAACACTAACAGAGTGGAGATGCCTGGACAGGACAAGAGGCAACTATTAGTTATCAATGAGTTAGACACAGCCTGGTGCACACAGCTCCTAGGCAGCCACACCTACCAGAAAGAATCCGCATGACTGCACGCTCTTGCCCAGGGCGGAAGGCTCGGTGCCCTAGCTGCTCTAGGGCCTGGAATACCTCAGGAGGGGTTTCTGTGGACACAAGTTATAGTGGTTTCAACGAGAATGGACCCCCACAGGCTCAGATGTTTGTATACTTAGTCCCCACTTGGTGAACTGTTTAGGAAGGATGTGGAGGTGTGTCTTTGCTAGATGAAGTACGTCTCTGGGGATGGGCTCTGAGGTTTCAAAAGCCCAGGCCAGGTCCAGTGTGTGCCTGCTGCCTGTAGATCAGGATAAAAAGGTCTCAGCTACTTCTCCAGCACCATGCCTGCCTTTCTGCTTCCCACAGTGATGATAACGAGCTACTGAAACGGTAAGGAAGTCTAATTAAATGCTTTCCTTTGTAAGAGTTGCTGTGGTTGCCAGGGCAGTAGTGGCTCACACCTTTAAACCCTGCACTTGGGAGGCAGACACAGGCAGATCTCTATGAGTTTGAAGCCAGCCAGTTCTACAGAGTAAATTCCAGGTAGTCAGGGCTACACAGAGAAATCCTGTCTCAAAAACCCAACAATCAAAAAGAGTTGCCTTGGCCATGGTGTCTCTTCACAGCAACAGAACAGTAATTACAATGTGTTGATAAAGAGTCTGGACCATAAGTTTCACTCACCTGCTATCTCTCCCAAGGGCCCTGGTGGGTAGAGAGGTAACACAGGGGTGGGGCAATGAGGCACCTGTAGCTCTGGCCCAGCAGATTCTGTTTCCTCACCTGCTTAGAGAGGCAAGAGAGGGTGATGTGGAAACACCAGAATAGACAGAGACCATCCTGGCGTAATGGCCACAGGTCACATCACTCATTCCCCCTCACTCACAAGAGTGGTGACAGGAAGTGGTACCTGTCCTCTGTGCTGCTTCCTTCAAGGTGGAAATGGACTGTTTGTCATATCTGTCACTTTCCTCTTGGATGGTCAGGGTAGAACCTGGACCGGGATGAAGAGCTGCTGGAGCTTTCCATTTGTGTAAGTGGTACTCTAGCACCCACAATGGTTAAATGATCCAATACTTAGGGCAGAGGCTTACCTGGTTGGGAACACTGGGATGCCCAGTGACCAAACTGCCTGCACCGGAAACAAGTGTCCTTGACTGTGGCCCTGGGTCCACTTGCCCCAATCTGCGCTTGTTTCTTCTTCCACTTTTGCTTCCATACCTGGGGCAGGGCCACAAATGGAAGAACCACTTAGGAGTGGATGGGAGGAGAGGGAAGGCTGGTCTGTGCCACTCAGTACATCTCACCTGCTTACGGAGAAGCCTGCCACGATTGGCCCCAACTCGTACAAAGCGTTTGTTTTTCATGTTGAGTCGAATATAGTTGCCTCTGTCTAGGGAAGCTGGTCGAGGAGAGACATGGAGGTGGGTTGTGCCCTTAGCCCTCTCTGGCCTGGCCTGAAGTGAGGACTTGCGGGGCTGAGGTGCATCCACTTGTGTGGGTTCTCCTGGAGGGTCTTGCCCATGTGCAGTAGCCCCAGCTCCCTCAGACAGGGGTCCTGCTTGGCTGCTGTGTGGGGCTTGTGCAAAGCCCTCCCCCTTCTCATTCCATTTCCGCTTCCTGTCTTTACTGTAGCTGGATTTGGGGCTCCATGACAAAACTTGGGCTGGCTGTTGGGTTAGGGCCTGTGGGTTCTGTGAAGATACTTCTGAATTGATGTCAGGATCAACGACATTCACCTTGCCTGACATCTGAGACTGTGACTCTTTTGTACTTAGGTCAAGCCCACAAGCACCCGGACCCTCTAGAAGATCTGAAGCTCTGTCTTGACATCTCTCTAACCAACCAGGATCTAGGGAACTCAACCTCAGGCTCAGGGATGACCGGAGCTGCTGGAGTTGGCCTAGCCTTGGCTGGGGCTCAGGAACCTGAGGAAGTACATCACTAACTTCATCTGGACAGGGGGATTCAGTCCTTGAGCCTGGTGGCCTTGGGGTGGGAACTGTGGACAAGGATCTCTTCTGAGGCTGGAGTTTTTGGCTCACGGTTGGTCCAGCCTAGGAAGACAGAACAGCAAGTAGGAACTCAGTACCTGGGTTACTGCAGAAGTCTGGAACAGACAATAAGCTGAGAGTGGAGATGACTGAACACCGTTAGGAACCTAGCCCCAGTTATTACAGGAGAGTGTGTGTGTATGTGTGTATTCTATAAGGAAGAGTGGATATAGAAGGAACCTGGCAAACCAACCAAGGGCTAAAGGCAGTTCTGGGTTCATCTCCACATCTTACCTGTAGTGTGTTTTTCAGATTGGCTTTGAGCCTCTTCCCATAGTCTTGTACAGAACTCAGTGGGCTCTGCTTTGGCACAGACTGTGTATTATTCTGTATTGCAGCTCGATTCAGGTGGGGACCCCAGCAGCTTGACTCCTGTGCCTGCATTAGACAGTAGCGACCCAGACCAGTTTAAAAGATGGTATGGGCACAGAAGTGCCTCTAAAGCTTCCCCTAACCCTCACTGGGAGGGCCTGGCCACCCAAGTTTTGTGCTCCATGGAGGTATGGCTACAAATACTCTTGGTTCCTGCCATTTGACCACAGAACGCTGACCTCGAGAGTGGGATTAAGTGATACCTCCTCAGCTGCCTCAGCAAGTGATTGCTCTAGAACGCGGTGTCTGTCGTCAGCCTGACGCACTGCCTGCTTTAGGTTACGGTACTCACGGTAGAGCGCTGGGAAGGCAGAAGTCGGTGGTCAGGGGCACACCCACTAACATTCGCCCTGATCCTGGTCCACCAGCCCAGTGCTCACCCCGGGTCTCCTCTGGTGCCGCCTCCACATCCTCCTAGGAGAGAAGCTTGTCAGCCACAGGCTGCGCCTGGGTCACCATTAGCTGTCCTTATCCGGATCCTAACTCCACCTCACCTTCGCTGCCCGTCGCCCGTGCAGTCGTACAAAAGCGCGTTCCCACTCTTGCAGTCGCGCGCGAACGGTCGCAAGCCGCTCCATGGAAGCCTGAACCGGAGTTTAGGAAATCTCCCGCCGCCACTGTAAAGTCTTGTCCTTAGCCAATGGGAGCTGACGACAGGCGGCGCCGGGCGGTGCGGCGGATTCTCCGAGCCCTGGAGGGGCGGGCCGTGTGATGTGCTGCGTCATCACAGAGCGCCACAGCTCTGCGCGGCGCTGGGCGTGGCTAGCTGGGCTAGGAGGGGTTTGAGGCCTTAGTCGTGGGGGCGGATGAGCTGTGGCCGCGGGGCTGGGATTCGAGCCGGGCTAAGAGTCAGCAGCCGTTAGTGGTTAGGGCACTCGGACGGCAGGGTCGACGGGGACTGGCGCTTGAAGGCCACGGCTGAGGCGGATTCTCGGGAGGTGCCGCTGCGCGCGCGGGGATGGGCCGCAAGCGCAGGGCGACCTAGGGGCGGGTGAGGACGTTCCCGGCCTGTAGAAAACCGGCTGGCCCCAGTTAGTTGAATTTCCGGATTTTTCCCCCCCACGAAGGATCCGAGCGTGGGCGTCTGTATGCATCACTGTAGAGACCGCTGTGTCCTGTGTGCGGTAGCATCACCAAGAAGCAATCCTTACTTGGAGCCCAGGCCAGCTGCTTTCGTTATCTCTTATGACAGGTGCTTGATTGGCTTGTCCTGTCAGTTAGGCAGTCCTCACGAGATTATCTTAAGGTAGAGCCAGATCAAGGGTAGTCGCCCGGGGTTTCCCGGGGACCCGTGCCCTAAGAACTTGTACGAGGTGTTAGAAGTAAGCCAACCCCAGGTTTCTGCAGTCTTTTTTGGTCCCCACCCCTGTCTCGTGCTGCGGCTTTGCGTAAGGCCTAGGCCTTGGTTTTCCAATCTGTTATAGGGTGAAGATTGTAGCGTAGTTCTGAGGGTAAGGTGTTTTGCTTATAGGAAGTCTACTGACCCTGTGTAGCAGGAATCATTCAGCCTCGGGGTCTTTTGTATGGGGCCTCGAGAAAGCTGGAACGCTTCGGCAGTTTTGGCTTGGATCTTTGTGAATCCCGTGAATTTAAGACCTGGCTTCTCAGTACAGTGTTTTCTCAGTGAAGAGGAGGTACCCGAATAGGAGGCAAGGACCACAGAGGGTGAGAGTTGCTTTTCCTCAGGGATTTCTGTGCCTACTTATACCCTAGAAAACTGTTATTTCTGGAGTTCGAACTTAGGGCCTTGGTCTCAGAGGCTGCACACCATCTATACTCTGGATCCTTTTTTTTTTTTTTTTAAAGACAAAAACAAAACAACAGAACCTGGCACTTACTAAGCTGTGTTAGACTTTTTTAAATCCATGGGCACATCTCTGTGGAGGGTTAGGATGTGGCTAGTGACTCTGGGGGAATTCTCTTTAACTGTTGTCAGTCTGATGGGAAGAAAAGTCTCGGATTTATTTCACTTTAGAAAATATTTACTTTCCCTTAGTTGTATGTGTGTCCACAATGTGCATGCAAAAGCTCTCAGGTCAAAAGTGGGCTGCATCAGTTACATATGGCTGTGACATACCATGTTGGTTCTAGAAACCACACTGGAGTCTTTTGCAAGACTGGTAACTGCTCTTAAGTGCTGAACCATCTCTGCACCCCCTTATTTTACAAACAAACACCCAAATCTGCTGGAACTCAATACTAGTCAGCCAGTAAGCTTCAGGGAGTCTTCTGCTGACTCCAGTGCTGGGTTTATTGAGTTGTGTCACCTGTATCCTGCTTTTATGTAGGTTCTGGAAGTCTGAAATCAGGTCCTCAATGTTCGGCAAGCACTATACAAAAAAGTATCTCCCAGCTCCTTGTTTTCTCTTCTCTTTTCCTTCTTTTTTTTTTTTTCTAAGATGTTACTATGTAAGGATAAATTGACTATAAATACACTAGGTGGGCCTCGGACTCATATCTACCTGCCTCTTGCCTTCCCCCTGTAATTGACGATGTACAACTTGATGCCTAGCCCTTACCTTACTTTTGAGGAATGATTTCTGAGTCCTAGTTATGATTTGGGAGGCCTACAGTCTCAGCACTGGGCCCTGCGGAGTAGCAGCTCTTCATGAGAAGGCCACACGTAAACAAACCTGTTACTGACAGTGCTACACTGTGTGTTCTGCTTGACACTTTGTTTACCCCATGTCTCCTGTCCACACTGCACAGTGCCAAGTGTGATGGCACATGCTTGTGATCCCAGAAGAGGCAGGAGGATTGCTACAAATTCAGGACAAGCTTGGGCTATAGAGTGGGACCTTGTCTCAAGCCAAACATAGAAACTTTCCTTTTGTGCACCTGTTCTCTACTAACTGACAACTCCATGTCAGATACCTCGGTGGCCTTTGTGCCACTGATAACTCGGGGAGGGTGTGACCTGACACTGGCCTAGGGTTTGTCTTCCCTAATTAAGATCCCCCTCCTGCAGGTGGCTGTCTGCCCAGTCCAGCACCATGCACACGCTTGTGTTCCTCAGCACTCGTCAGGTGCTTCAGTGCCAGCCAGCTGCATGCCAGGCCCTGCCCCTGCTGCCCCGAGAACTCTTCCCTCTGCTGTTCAAGGTGGCCTTCATGGACAAGAAGACGGCTGTACTGCGTGAGCTGGTGCACACATGGCCTTTTCCCCTGCTCAGTTTCCAGCAGCTGCTGCAGGAATGTGCCCACTGCAGTCGAGCCCTGCTGCAAGAGCGGCTCAGCACAGAAAGCATGCAGGCTGTGATCCTAGGGCTGACCGCCCGGATTCACACTCGAGAAACAGAGGCTGGCACGCAACCCTTTTGCAGGTATGCATTTATCTAAGGGGCCCATAGGCTAGGGGTCCAACGAAGATTCCCTGAGTTGGTTCTGAGGTCAGAAAGAGCTCAATATGGAAATAGCCATATCTGTTGCTTCTGTACAAAGTAGCTGGGAGGGAAGTAGGTCTTTCTCCCTCATCCCCTGCCTCTGCCCGTCTCTGTTCCCAGGAAGCATGCATTGCGGGTACTGGACATGACTGGTCTCCTGGATGACGGTGTGGAGCAAGATCCGGAAACCATGAGCATGTGGGACTGTACAGCCGCTGTAGCCAGAACGTGCATTGCCCAGCAGCAGGGTGGGACTGCCAAGCCAGGGCTGTCACCCCTCCCTGTGGAAATCCGTGTAGACCTTCGGGTAAACCGGGCCTCCTATACATTCCTTCGTGAGGCACTCCAAAGTAGTGTGGACAGCCCACTGCGGCTGTGCTGCCGGGACCTCCGGGCTGAGGATCTGCCCATGCGCAACACTGTGGCCCTGCTGCAGCTTTTAGATGCAGGCTGTCTGCGCCGGATAGACCTGCGCTTCAATAACCTGGGCTTGCGTGGGCTGTCTGTCATTATCCCACACGTGGCCCGCTTTCAGCACCTAGCTAGCCTGAGGCTGCATTATGTGCATGGAGACTCGAGACAGCCTTCGGTGGATGGTGAGGACAACTTTCGCTACTTCCTAGCCCAGATGGGCCGGTTTACCTGTCTCCGGGAGCTCAGCATAGGCTCTTCGCTCCTTTCAGGCAGGCTGGATCAGCTGCTCAGGTGAGTGGGCTCTCCCATTGCTCTCCCTGTTTTATGTGAGGACATTCTCCTTATCCTACCTGCCCATGACCCTTCTGTAACCCCTTTGTCCCTGCAGTGCCCTGCAGAGGCCCCTGGAAAGCCTAGAGCTGGCCTTCTGTGCACTGCTGCCTGAGGACCTACGATTCCTGGCTCAGAGCTCTCATGCTGCCCACCTCAAAAAGCTGGATTTGAGTGGCAACGACCTGTCAGGCAACCAGCTGACACCTTTCCAGGGTCTACTACAGGCAGTGGCAGCCACACTGCTGCATCTTGAGCTGACTGAGTGCCAGCTTGCTGATGCTCAGCTGTTGGCCACACTGCCCACCCTAACTCGCTGTGCCAGTCTCCGTTACCTGGGTCTCTATGGCAACCCTTTGTCTATGGCAGGACTTAAAGAGCTGCTTCGGGACTCTGTGGTCCAGGCTGAGCTACGCACTGTGGTGCATCCTTTTCCTGTGGATTGCTATGAGGGTCTTCCTTGGCCACCACCTGCCTCTGTCCTTCTGGAAGCCTCCATCAATGAGGAGAAGTTTGCCCGTGTGGAAGCTGAGTTACACCAGCTGCTGTTAGCCTCAGGCCGTGCCCATGTACTCTGGACCACAGACATCTACGGCCGGCTGGCTTCAGACTATTTTAGCCTCTGATCTCCAGGGTCTTTGATGAAGCCTGACACAAAGGCTCCTGTCTTAGGTTTTCTGCAGTTTGCCTTTCTCCTGGGTATACCTGGAGTTACCTCTGCTTTCTGCAGTATCCTTCACCTGCTCCCAGTGTCTGGCTGCCTGTTGGCATCTCGGGCCTGTGCTCCCTGGTTCTGTATGATGTACTTGTTGGTTCTGCTGGGTTGCAGTCTCTCTGTAGAAGACGGTTCCTGAACACATCCCGTGCCCTTAGCAGGAGTGCAGTGCACTGAGGTAGATATTAGGGTGATTTGCTTCAGGGCACCTTGGGGTCTTATACTGTGTACCCTGCCTGGCACCCTATTACCTGGCTCTGGAGGGTGTGAGTAAGGTACAAACGTGCAGTATCTGGAATGTGAATTTCTGGGGTTTTTTGATGTGTGTGTCCTAATTGGATGGGAAAGACTTACCTGCATTTCTAGTGTTCCTTTATCGTGACCAGCTGTCAATCTGTCACCCAATCTACTGCCCCGCTCCCTAGTTTATAAGTAGGTTATCCCACTATTCTTAGTGTCCAGAGCCAGGGTGGATCGCCAGGGCTGGCAGCGGGAGGAAAACAGCTTATCCATGGCCCAACCCACAACTCCCACCAGGCCGCCCCAACACACTCAGCGGAGAAGCCTGGCTTCAACTTTACTTTGAGCATGCGCGGAGCTGCACCGGCCAATCCCCAGTGCCTACGTCATTTATCTGCGCAAGCTCAGCAATGGATCTCATAGGCCACACGTGTAGGGAGGCGTAGCCCAGACCTGAGCCCCTCCGGGGGATTGTGTTGAGGGGCGTCCTCTGGCGGTACCTCTGGGAACAGGGGCTTGGACCGGTCAATGACGAACATCTCGTGTCCATGGTCATCACGGAGCTCCTCGAGCTGTGCGAAGGTGCAAGGCCCATCCGAATAGTCATTCACAAATAGGGTGCCTTCCCCTGACGCCACAGGCACCTTTTTCCGCCGGCGTCGGCGTCGACAGATCATAGCTGCCAACAACAGCGCGGTGAGCGCCAGCAGCGCTATGGCTGCTGTGATCGCTGTCTGCGTTGCTAGGCCCAGGGCTCGGAAGGCCATGCTACCTGCCTCATGCTGGGGTTCATGTCCCACAGGGCGTGTGGCGGGGGCTTGCGGGGCGGGTAGCTGCTGTGACTGCTGCCGGGATGCGTTGACCAATAGATGAAAGGGCACACGCGCTTTGCCACCTGCATTGGCGGCCTCGCATTCGTACTTGCCTGCGTGAGCCAGTGTGATGTTGGTGAGGAAGAGCATGCCGCTGCCAGTGTCACGGGTGGCATGCCCGCCCAGGCCTGGTGCCCCACCTTCCAGCTGGGCCTGGGCTTGAGGCTTACCATCGCGAGGCTGGGGCACCTTTCTCCAGACCACCAGGGGCTGTGGGTAGCCTGATGCCTGACAGGCTACCTGCAGGTCCTCCCCCAGATTAGCTGTGAGCTCCTGGGGCTCCACGTTCACAGAGGGGGGAATGCAGATGAGGCTCCCACCAGATACTTCTAGCAGACTCTGTAGCGCCAGGCGTGGGGGCTCTGCACATGTGATCTTCTTGTCTCTGGAGCTCAGAAGCCGTCGGCCCCTCTCTTTGATCCAAGAGCCCAGCCAGTGAAGGGCACAATCACAACGCCATGGGTTCTCTGTAGGTCAGAATACAAACAGAAGCCCGTATCTACCTCTTACAGATGCCTATAGAGTTCCAGAATCCTTGTCACCTCTTCCCTCCAAGTTCCTAGGAATGTTTGTGATCACAGTTCCTGAAAAAGCATCAGATTCTCTGAAGCCCCAGCTTTGTAAGCCTCCACATCTCTGCATATTTCAGCAGCCCTATTGTCGAATGAGCTTTCCAGCTTTGCCTGGCTCCCCGATGACAAGTTATAAGAGCTTCAAGTCTCTACACACAAAGTTCCAGTGCCACCCAGAAAAACCCTGTCTTAAAAACCAAAACAAAGCCGGGCGGTGGTGGCGCACGCCTTTAATCCCAGCACTCGGGAGGCAGAGGCAGGCGGATTTCTGTGTTCGAGGCCAGCCTGGTCTACAGAGTGAGTTCCAGGACAGCCCGGGCTATACAGAGAAACCCTGTCTCGAAAAACCAAAAAAAAAAAAAAAAAAACCAAAACAAAAAAAAAGAGCTTCAATTCTGTTAAGTTATTCTGCAGAATGTGAACCTTGCTTCCTTAAATAGATGCATAAACTGTAACTCTTAACAGCACTCCCTGGTGGTCCCTTGCTAAGGCTGAGGGTTCTGGTGTGGCCCTGCAAAGTAATGTCCATTGGCTGTCATAGTGAAGCAAGACAGAAAAGGGAAAATTATAGGGGCACAGGAAGGGGGGCAAGTCCCCATAGAATACTTTGAAGATTGCCAACATAACAATACTCCCTTTACACTTAGAAAAATACTTAAATAGTAGGGAAACATAAGCATATATCTGTGATCCTCAAGAATGACTTTGCTTTTTTTGTAGGTAATTTCTAGGGGAATCACAGGACTAAGTCTTCATTTGCAGTAAGGGAATCTTTCTTGGCAACCCTTGTTACTTGGGCATTTGCACTAACCTCTGTATCCCTATCCAATGCATAGGCACCACCCTATGACTTCACTTAAGTGTTTGTTTGTTTTATTTTCAATACAGGGTTTCTCTGTGTAACCCTGGCTGTCCTGGAACTCAATTTTTATAGACCAAGTTGGTCTCGAACTCAGAAATCCTTCTGCCTCTGCCTCCCAAGTGCTGGGACTAAAGGCTTGTTCATGTAGATTCTTTAATAGTCCTTTCAAGTGTAATTTCTGAAGCTATCAAACTCAGTATATATGACTATCCTAAAGGCACTTATTTTGTAAAACCCACACCAAGGCTCTTGGTGTGTTTTCCTTCCATAGCACTTGTCTTAACCCTCATGTTTCAAATCTATGTTAAAGTCCCTTTTAATAAATCCAAACTCCGTTACATCTTAGTTATTCTGAAATCATCGTCTGAAGTAGAATCTGGCTCAACATCAGTCAGGGACTGTAAAGAATTAAGGGAGCTCCCCAGGTTGGTGTAGCCACAGTCTGGCTCTGCGGCTGTTCCTATCACCGCTGACAATAGGAATCCATTGTGTGTACCTAAGCCTGCTTCTCCCTGCTGGTACTGCTGTGGACTAAGAGACCCATACCAAAGAAGAGGTACCTGTGAGGCGTAGCACTTGTAGGCTGCTCAGAGGCTGTAGGGCCTCCTTGCTGATGGTGCCCAGTTGGTTCCTGCTGAGGTCCAGTAGGGCCAGGGAGGAAAGCCCAGCCAGGGCCTGGTCCTCCAGTAATTCAATGCTGTTTTCTTGAAGATGAAGTTCCTGTAGTCGCTGAAGTAGGGACAAAAAATCATCAGAGAAAAGGGCCATGGGTAGCTAGACATGGTTGACTTCTCTTCCCACTAACCTCTCCCACCAGTAGGGCAGTTATGGATATCACAGCAAGATACAGAAGTTTTGGCTTTTGTTGCTTACCGGCAGATGTAAGAAGGTGAAATCCAGCAGCTTCGCCAGCTGGTTTCCAGCCAGGTAAAGCACACGAAGCTGGACCAAGCCCACAAATGCGCCACCACGCAATCCCCGAAGCCGGTTGCCGGTGAGCGCCAGTTCAAGCAGGCGGGGCTGTGCACGGAAGGCGCCTGACTCCAGCGCACGTAGGGTATTGTTGTGCAGGTAGAGGTGACGCAGGGCAGCGAGAGGGGCCAGGGCACCTTGCTCCAGGTGCGCGATGCTGTTGTCTTGCAAGAACAGCGTCTGAAGGTTGTGGGGACGAAACGATTACTTCATTGTGGGGCATGTCCTAGTGACCTTCCGCTACACCTCTTACACACTCGATTCCGGTGGGCACTGTAGCCCATTACTCCAATCCAAGGCCCTCCAGTCCCACAGAGTGCCCACCTGCGTCCCCGGAGGGATTCCCGGTGGGACCACACGCAACCGTAGGGCGCCACACTCCACTGTGGCGCTGTAGCAGCGGCAGGCGGCGGGACAGCCAGTGGCGCGGGGTGGGAGTCCAGGCAGCAGCGGCAGCAGCAATAACCCCAGCAGTAGCAGCAGCAGCGCAGGGGCCCCTGGGGCCATTTCCGAAGAGCCCCACCAGGAAGCTGTGGCTTCCCCAGGGAACGGACCCGGATGGGATGCGCCTCCTGAAACAGGTTAGCAGGCCAGTGCTAACATTATCCAGCCAGCGCTTGAGCAGGAATGTAATGCCAGGCATGATGGGTTATGCGCTTAACCTAAACACTGAGGAAGCTGAGACAGCCGGATTGTTGTAAGTTCAAGGCCAGGTCTAGGCTATATGTTCCCGGCCAGGTTGGCTGGACCACAGTGAGACTTAGTACTCAGGCGCCAGGCAGTGGTGGCACAGCCTTTAATCTCAGAATTTACTTGGGAGACAGATCTCTATGAGTTTGCCTTCTACAGAGTGAGACAAGGCTACACAGAGAAACTCTGACTTGAAAAACCAAACAAAAACAAAAAACGAAAACAAAAACAAACCAGCACTCAGGCCACAGAGGAAGGCAGATCTCTATGAGTTGAGGCCAGACTGGTCTACATAGTGAGTTCCAGGTTGGTCAGGCTGCATATATAGTGAGATCCTGTCTTAGAAAGAGAGAAAGGAAGAAAGAAAGAAGGAAAGAAAGAAAGAGCCCCCCATCCCCCTTTTACTCTTGGCAAAACCTGTACGAAGGCACCAAAGTAGCTACACAAGTAAAGACACTAGTCTGGCAAGCCTGGTGACCTGAGCTGCATCTACCCAACCAACATAAAGGTGGAAAAAAAGAAACACTCGACAAAGGCGGCCTCTGACTTGTAGTATTTCCCTACTACCAACCAATGCAGTGCGTTTTTTAAAAAGGAAACAAACAACCCCCCACCCCCAAACAAAACCAAAAGCAATCTTTCCTCAATGGTCCTTACCTTGCCCTAGGCCTCTTCCTGTGCCTATACTGAGAGCTTCCTGCCCTTCACCAGCGTGACAGCCCCATCACTGGGCTCTCCTTGGTTCCCAGAAGCAACAGGATGTAACTTGGGAACTGCCTGGGTAGTAAAATCCAGGGCAATTACCCAGGTGTGAGCAAAAAGAGAGGGCTCCGGGCCCCTTGGTCTCACCCGGTGGGTCCTGACATCAGCATAAAGTTCAGCACTGATCGAGAACTTCTTTGTGCCTCAACACAAGAGCAAGGGATCCCACGTGATCTTGGCCCATATGATCCCACCTTATGGTTCATTTGTCATGATCTGAGAGGTATGTGGGGGAGAAACAGTGGTCACAGCGTAGCTTGATGAGGTCCCTGATCCTCCTGTTGTAGGGATAGAGGTGGGTAGAAAACTCACCAAGAGTTAGGCTTTTCCTTGGGGGTAACTCATACATTTTATTTCCTTTTAGACAGGGTCTACTATATTTCTCTGGTTGGCCTGGAAATCCTTATGTGGATGGCCTCAAACCCAGAGATGTCTGTCTCCAAGTGCTGAGACACTCACTTGTCTTTCTTTCCTCTTTTCTTTCTTTTTTTAAAGACAGGCTCTCACTATGTATGCAGCCCTGACCAACCTGGAACTCGTAGGCCTATGGTACTATGTCTAGCTCACTCTTAACATTTTCTTAAAAAGAAATTGTTTTATGTGGATGAGTGTTTTGCTGTGCATGTATGTGTGTGCATCTCGTGCATACCTGGGACCCTCAAACGTGAGAAGAGGGCATCAGATCCCCTACAACTGAAGTTAGGATGGTTGTGAGCCATCATGTGGGTGCTGGGAATTCACCTCCAGCCCCACCAAGACAGGGTCTCTTTCTATGTGTCCATGACTATTCTGAAACTCTATGTAAAGCAGGCTGGCCTTGAACTCACAGAGATCCACCTATCTGTGCCTCTCTAATACTGGGATTAAAGGCCTGAGCCTCTACCCCTGACTGGTACTTCTAATTCTTTTGAGTCAGGGTCTTGCTGTACTTAAACTTGAGATATTCATAATCATGCTCCATGTGGTAAGATTACAAGGGTACACAATCACGTCTAGCTTTCTCAGGTAACTTTTAGAGAACGGAGGGATAAGACAAACAGCAGGAAAATCAGTTCAGAGCCCATGTCCCGGCCCTAAATCTGGTTCCAAACGGGTCTGTGTCTTTGGAGTAGATGAAAGTGTGTGTCCTGGCTGGGATGTGGGAGGAAACCTTACATCATCAACTGGTTTTTAATTTTCTTTTTTCCTCCTTTCTGGAGATTGACCTCAGTTTCTCCCACACACTAAGCACACAATTTACCACTGAGTTCCTATCATCACAACTGGGCATCTAGGTTTCCAGGTAGAATATGGGAGCAGGGATCTCCGATGCTGCAAAGAAATGTACTCTACAGTAGGTCATTGCATGTACCCGGGAACCTAGGGACAAGAGGACTAAGATCTAGTTCTAGCCACAATGAGCTGTGTTAAAGGTGGTAACCCGAAGCTGAAGAAGCCTGCTTTTTCTGAATTTAAGGAAGATAGGACCAAGGGTGCACTGTTCTCTTGTCTCTAGCGTCATTTGGCATGGTCTAATGTTTTAATACCAACTTATTCACTAGGTCTTTGTTCTGAGTCAAGTTGAACTGTACTAAGTGGCCTTGGTGTTTGTCTCAATTTTGCACCAATTGTAAGTCACATGATCATTTAAAGTCAATAGAGATGAGGCAGCACAGCAGTAAAGTTTTAATGGAATAGCTTTGGCGCAGGCAAAGGCAGTTCCTAGGTATCTCAGGACATGTGGAGCCCCAAGAAGTGGGGATGTTTGCTAGGTTTGATTTCCTGGCGCACAAATGACTGGCTGATCCCTGGCTCCAGGCCTCGCGCATCTGTTCAGCCTTCAGTAGCAAAGCCTTGATCTGTACGTTAGGGATCAGAGCTGCTACTTATGCAGAAGCCCAGATGTGCATCAGTGCAAGACAACCATGGCAGGAATAAGGGTCCCTTACTAGATGAGCCCAGAAATCCTTTTATCAGGACATGAACCTCTAATCCTGGGCAGGAGTGGGGTGTTGGTCTCCTGGGTGCCTATCTAGGCGGGAAGAGGGTGGAGAGGAGCCCTGTGTTCTCTGTCGGGCCCAGCTGAGGTCTCTGGCAGCCCTTGCGATCCGGCGCTTTTAACCAGCACTACCTCCCCTATCCGCCCCCTCCCGTTCCAGTGGGTCTGAAACTGCTCATTGAGGGTGTGGTTTCTATCCCCTTCCCACTGCCAGATCCTATGACCTTTTCTTGGTGCGGCAGTCAGAACCTAGAGGGTCCCGATCCCGCCCCCAAGCCCGATGACCTTGGGCTATGATCCCCCCCCCCCTCACCTGCTCCAGTGGCGAGCGACTCCCCGCGGTGCTTGCGGCTGCAAGACTGGAGAAGCGGCGGGGGGAGGGGGGGTGATTGGGGTGGGCGCGCACGCGCATCGGCCCACGCGCGCCTTGCGCCTGCCGCTCTGCCTGACGTGACCAGCGCAGGCCAATCCGTGGGATGCAAAGCCGGTGTAAAGGTTAGAGGTGGCCGAGAGAGGACCTCTGTAGGGACAGAGGATAGCAAAGCCGCGCCAGAACCTTGGACAGCGCCAACCTACCGTCGCCCTGGGCTCACCTCTGCGCGCACGCGCTCTCAGTCACCAGCGTGCAGGTGACAGCGGACATCTAGGTTAACCTGGAGTGCTGGAGCCGAGGGGTAACCTGCGAGTACTAAGAAATCCTGTGTTTGCCCTAACCCTCCCCACACAGCCCCAGCCAGGGTCTCAGGGCGGCGGGGCAGCGAGCAGCAGTGGGGCCAGATCCATAGTTAGGGCGATACGGCGACCTTGCCAGTGTACATGAGAAGGGACCGTGGGTGAGCTAGGCCCATACTCGAAGCAAGCGCTGAGCTCGAAGGCCAGGGCCGAGCGCACTAGACCCACTCCGCCTGCGCGCTCTGGGGCCGGGTGGTACAGGCGCCCATTGGCCGCCAGGGGTAGCAAGCGAGCCGGCTCGAAGGGTATGGCCAGCGCCTCGCCGCCGCCGCAGTAGGAGAGACGAGGTGACTCGCTGTCGGAAGCCAGGAGGTGCGTGAAGACCACTGGCCGGTCTTCACAGCGCAGGAAGTTACGTTCTCTGCCGCAAAGCGAGAGGAAGGGAAAGGAAGCCTCGTAGCGCCCGCTGTGGTTGGGTCTCAGGCGGGAGAAGAAAGTGACCAGGAACTGCAGGTCTGTGGGAACAAAAGGCACGATTGTCCATGCTGGGTGACCAAGTTTCTCAGACACGCTCCTTTTCCTAGGCATACCAGCACTGGCATGAGACAGCGGAACCCCCCCTTGTGGATGGGGGCTTCCCTCAGAGTCGGGGAGCCAAGGCCTTGAAGGGTAGAGACGTGAGGGAGCAGCGCAGTAAGCAATACCTTTGAAGCAGGTGATAAAGTTCTTCATTTTGGAGTCATCTAGGAAAAGCTGCAGACAGAAGTGACACAGTGGACAGTAAGTCCTAGCAAGAAAGCCGGTGGTGCTCGCTGTCCTTTTCTGTATAATGTGTGTGGGGGGGTATGTGAAAAGGCCCTGCGGACTTTCCCCACATCTACAGACAGGTTTCCAGTGCTGCAGCCCCCTCCCCCCATTCCTATCTCTAAAGCAGGCTTTAAATGTTTTTTCTCTAAAGCATTCGGCTCTGGGATTGGTGCTAGGACAGGCTAGTGTGGGCGGGACTGTGATGCGGTGTAAGTGGCTGGCCCCGGAATTTTCGGCTTCCAGCCAGGTCTTTGAAGGTTCAAAGCCACGCGTAGCACCTATCCCCAGGTCTCACCCCTAGAACTACTCCCCACCCAGTGCCGATTCCGCAGTTCCCTCAGGACTCCTCCCTCTGTCACACGCCAGGCACACCTGGCCTTGGTGATCCACATAGTAGAAATACTCGCGGGTTCTGGGCTCCGGGCTTTGGCCCTGTGTGTAGGAGACACGTTCGTCCCCACTGCAGGTCCGAGCTCTCTGCGACCTCGCCAAGACTAGAGCCAAGTTACGCACTGCCCCGCAAGGCGGCCACATCCTCCCACACCGGAAACAGATCAGACAGTGCAGTGCCTGGAGCTTTGGGTTCCACCGGCAGCCGTGCTCGGTGGGGGCGGAGCTGTTTGTCCCGCCCCCGGAAGTAGTTATGCGATGTAGATTTCCCCCCCTTCCTCCCCCATGTCAGAAGTAACCTGAAGCACAGGAAGCGAGTGTGCACTTGAACTTTATTCACACGGAGTACTGTCCCCTCGATCCACACGTCCGAGGAGCACCTGCGACCGATAGGTCTTGGAGAGGTCCAGGACCTGCCCCAGCGAGTTGCGGGCCTCCGCATGGGGGACTTTTGTTTTTAATAAATAAAAACTCTAAAAAATATATATATATATAAACAGGAGAAATGAAGTTTGACAACTGTTGGAACTCAGATTCCAGAATGGAAAACGCAGACGAGTCTAGGCAGGTCTCATCCACGCGCCGCCTGTGTGTGGAGTTTGATCAGAGGCCGCGAGGTCAAAGGAGGATGGTGCTAACTTGCTCAGCCCGAGGACCGCAATGGCAGTTCAAGAGATAAATAGCATCTGATTAAAACTATGTCCTTAGCAAACTTAGTTCTGACATCTGTCATTCTATTTATATCTTTATACACAAGTAGGCTGGGTATGGGATAGATTCTGTACTCAAAAAAAAAAACCCAACCCCCCAAAAAAGTCTTGCCCTCCCCCACCCATCCCCAAGAAAGCCTGCCTAGCCCTGGCCCTACCCCAGAGGGCTTTGGTTTGGGGCCTCCCCTTGCACAAAGACCGATTAGGCATTGCGCCGACGGAGCCGTGTCCTAGTGGTGGCCAGCACAGCTTTCCAGGGCGTTTCCAACTCCTTCAGGCCCCAGCCAGAGGCCCCTAGACTAGGGGGGGAGGGATCAGGGCGAGAGTGCCTTGGTGGAGGATTGCCCTGAACGGGGGACAAGGTCCTGTTGCCCTGAGCAACGCGGCATGTGCTTCAGCCGACCAGGAGGGCAGTGTCGCTCGGCTCCGGGAAACAGAAGGCACTTCTCGGGGCTGGCTTGCGACCGGCAGGGCGAGCTGGTACCCGCAGGAACTGCTTTGCCCGAGTGGGCCTGGGGCGGGGCGGGTGTCTGGCGGGGCCTGGCATGCTGCCTCGCGCTGGGGCTTTCCCTCCCACCTCCTTGGGTGTCACCCTAGCAGCAGTCCACAGCCGCGTGCTATAGCACGCCCTCCATGAAGCTGGTATCTAAATGCTGAATGAGCACTCGAAGGAAGGACATCTCCTTTCGTGTATTCTCAAAGATGACGCGAGGATCATCCGACTGGCAGCGCAGACAGTTGGGTGCCATCACCATAGCCAGGTTGCTGACGTCCATTTTGGTGATGGCTACATTGGCTGGCTGCACGAACACCTGTGTGAGGGGGTCCGGGTGAAGGGAGAGGAGGAGAGCAGAGTGGAGGGTAGGCGTAGCTATTACAGGATGAGCTGGGCAAAGTGGAAGGTTGGTTGGGAAGGATGGAAGGTGGGCGTGGTGTGGCACTGGGCGCAGAGCATGCATACCTGGAGGAAGCGAATGAGGTAGCACAGCACCATTCGGTTGATGCGCGGCAGCGCGTGCACCACGGCCACAGCAGCCTCCGGGCTCTCGTAGTGCGCAATGCATTGTTCGTAGAATTCATGAGGAATCAAGGGCTCTTCCAGCTCCCGATACCACAGTTTCAGCAGCGATGCTGAGGGTGAGAGTGACTTAGATGGTCTTGGCTTGGGGTCCCTAAGCCAAGCATCCACCAGAGGCCACGTCCAGTGAAACAGGGTGTATGGGAGGATATGGAATAGGCTGAAAAGGGTCCCTCTGGCTAAAGCCAGACTGAGCCCAGATCCCAGAGAAACAGGCTGCTGGAGGACCTGGGATCATTCTTGGCAGTACAGGTGTGTGTGTATGTGGCCACAATGACTACAAAATCAAATTTCTCACAAGGGTTGTATAGCTGTTGAAGGAGGTGGCTGAGAAAGCCCCAAGAGCTGTGGGCCAGGCTGCTCTGGAGGGGCAGAACCCTGGGTACACCAAGAACACTGACATGTCCAGTGTAGGAAAATGTCTATATAATTCTTCTAGAGGTAGGTGCCAGGGTTGAAGGATGGTGAGATACAGCCACAGAAGGACAGAGGGACAAGGCCACAGGGTGATCCTGAACAGGAGCCTGGGCCTGCATGGTTACCTGCTTTCTGGGATATGCATACAAGCCAACTCCTCAAAACTACTGAGTACATGTGGGGCTCACCAGGGACATGGGGGTCCTCCAGGCCTGTAGGCACCTTCCACTGATCCACCTGCAGCTTCAGGGCATTCACTTCATCAATGTCACCAGGGACCCTAGGGAACACAGGGCACATCTTAGACTGGTCCTAGTGCTAGAGCTGGGAGTAGAAGAAAGCCCCAAGGACCCGCCAACCAGATAGTCTCAGGCAGGGTAGGGTGACTCAAAGCTTTGTTGCACTTTTTGGGGCATCCTATCCATGCACTTGGGTCAGTGGTGAGGGACTCTCTTGGCTTCTCTGCAGCTGTTTCCTTCTGCAGGCCACTAAAGCCCACACTTGCTTCCCTTCTTGTCTTGGGGGCTCGGACCTCCCTGGTCCTGACAGGCAAGTCATTACAATGGTTGACACTGCATAGGCAAGTGCTATCACAAAGGCTGTGTATGTCACATTCCTGTTCACACAGGGTGATGAACTGGGGCTGCTGCATGCCATCTCTGAAGCTCTTGTCAGAGGTGATGTCCTTGCTGGTATCCAGGTATATTCTGGATCCATTGTGGGCTGTCTTTATTGGCCATGAGCTATTTGAGGGGTGGGGTGGAGTGGCGACACAACCAACTTGCCTCCTATAGACGGGTCATCGCCTTGTCTGTCTTGGCTGCATGGCCCCTAGACTTAATGTCCCTGATATTAGAGATATAAACATATAACTGTGCCCCCTTCTCCCACCCACAATCTGGGGTTGGCAAGGCACCTGAAGATACCCTCCGTCTGGTCACCGTTGAGTGCCAGGACCTCCTCAGAGAGCCGTGTCTGTACCCAGGGGAGCTGCCTGTCAGGATAGCGCTCTTTCTGCATGCTCATCACCTCCTGCAGTGCACTGCCAAACATGGATGGGCTGAACACTGCGTTCTTGGCATGTCGTATCTCCTCCACATTGGGCTTCTTCAGGCCCTGTAAAAACAGCCCAGCACTCAGGTCCTGTTGTGGACCAGCCTCCTTTCATCTCTTTTCCCTAATTCTGGTTCTTGGCTCAGTCAGAACCAGGGACAACCCAGACCCTGACCCAAGTCACTAAGGGGGTTTCCCATCAGGCCATCTGCAGCACCCTCAAGCATGGATATGCAGAATGGTGGAGAGGTGAGGGTTTCCACCACAGGACTGCATATGGCAGTGCCCGTCTGCTGCACCTCACCATGCCGGATGGAGTTCTTAAGGGCCAGTGCAGCCAGGGTGCTATTCCTAGGCTCTGGGAGGCATGGTATAGCCAGGTGGATGCACTACCTTACTTGGGTAGGTTACCTGATATCCTGTCTAGTGCCCATTTGCATTGTTCCTCAACTAGAGGCTCAGGCATGGCCACAGACTCTTACTACAGGGAAGCACAGGGTTTCCTAAGCCTTCCTAGTTAACACTAGGAAGCGTTAGGACACTAACAGGCTGGGCACCTCTGTCAGCAGGTACTCTGACAGCTGAGCCTCACTATCAGGCTTCTGTATGGGCTGGAGGAAAGTCATTTGCCCTACCCTGCTTTTCCCAGAAGCATTTGTACCTTCTTGGCCCCAGTCAGGGCTGCCTTCTGCAGCTTGTGGTAACAGTACTTCGCATAGGTGCTTATTGCCACCCCTAGAAGAGAAAGGGTGGCAGTCAGCCTGGTGTGGACATGTGGGATACAAGGGCTGAGAACAGCAATTGCAGGGTTTTCACCCACCCCTGAGCTGACAGCAGCCCATATGTTCTCCCAGGGCACAGCCCTATAGTGCAAAGACCCAAGAGGAGAGGCAAGGGGAACTTCCCACACCTCTAGGAGCTAGGGTGGGAGAAATTCCTCTACCAGCCTTCCTACAGCCACCAAAGAAAACAGGCTGGAAACAAAGCACTTCCCTGTAAGGAGTCATAGGCAAGAAAGGACACACCCAGGCCTTTAATTCTTCCTTTCCTCCTTAGGTGACCCTAGCAAGACCTTTAGTCTTCCCTGGTCCCAGAGGAAGAGGCTTCTGGATGAAGTATCTAGTGTCTTTGGCCAGCACTGGGGCAAACACAGTTCTCCAGCAGCTCTGGCTTCCTTAGAGAGGGGTAAAGTTCGAGGCAAGAGTGTCAGGGAGAGGGTGAACAAGGCTTGGCTCTCAGTGGAAGACAGCATCTAGAAGATATCAGTGTTTTGTGCCAGCACTCTAAGCAGAGGCTAAGAGAATGGTAGGGCTGAAGGCCTGCCTTCCTCTCAAGGGAGGGAGCTTAAGTGTTGGCACACTCCAGTGACAGACAGACTTAGGCTTGGTATGAATGGAAGATAATGTCAAGTGTCACCAACTTGGTCCTGACAAAGGGGAGGGAGATGACAGAACATGCCAAGAAATGTCATGGACAGACCACCACCAACTGTGTGCTTCTGGAAAACAGACACCCCTCCTCTGCAAGTTCCTTCTTCTGTGACTCCTAGCTTGCTATCCAATGGGGTCAATGAGGCCTCTAAGTTTCTTGTGGACATCTAAGGACTTGGGAAGGTCCTTAGACACATGTGTCCATATCCCATAAGTTTATTTTGCCTCATTAGAACACTTTACCACAAAATAGTTTATTCACATCTGTAAAAGGGGTTCCTTTCTAACCAAAGTAATTATAGATTTCTCAGATGTTTAAGTCTTGGACAATCTGCCTCAGGTCCCAAGACCCTGACAGAAGATTGTGGTTTTTGTTCTCAGCCAGCTGGAGACAGTACTCAGCTTTCTACTTCAGGCACCCTACCCTTCAGGAGAGCTGTAAGGCTCCCTTGTATAAGAGTGGATAGTGCTTCAGTTCTTCCCCTGCCCTGGATCGGCTCAGCAGATGACATCTGAGAACAATGGAAGGGACACAGGCCTGATGCCTCCTGTTCTGCATACTCAGGGTAGCCTTGTCTGAGAGCTGCTCAGACCACAGCATTTCCCATTTCTACCAGTTCTCAGCTGGGGGTGCGTATGAGAAAAACCTCTCT